ACAATACATATCAGAAATAGCATCAAAAATAATATGAAGGTTCTGACTGGTCTTAGATACATGAGATTGTGGAATAAAGACATTTTTTGCAGAAGTAATAGCTGTAGCAAAGGCAAAGAGGAAGACAAAGGAGACATCAGTGGGGAGCTACGCTCACTTCCCGTAGGCTGGCTGACCAGGAGAACCTCCGAGGCTTGGAGCAGTGGCTCATGCCTGTAATCCTGGCACTTCGGGAGGCTGAGGTGGGAGGATTGCTTTGAGCCCAGGAGTTTGAGCTTGAGTTTGAGCCCACGCCAGCCTGGGCAACAGAGCATGACCCTGTCTCAAGAGATAGATGAATAAACAATAAAATGTCTGAGAATAAATTTGGAAATGTGGTAACATCATGTTCGTTAACTTTAATCTGAACTCAGTGGGGGAATTATTGAAATATTTTTAAATAATACACGGAATTACAAGAATGTAAGATGAACTTAAAGATGAGACCGAAAGCAGTTTCCTAGAGGGAGGCTGTTATTAGACAACATGGATGTGAGTAATCAGTCTGAAACACAGGCAGTGTAGATTAAAGCATCTGGAATAAATACAAGCAAGGGACACTGAGCAGGTGACATTTTTGTGCATTATTGGAAGATGGGGCCTAGGATAAGGGACAAAAAGAAAACAAAAGCAACATCTCCCATTGTTTAAGTGTGAATGAAGGAGGAATATTTTCTTGAAATAAAAATATTGCTCCTTGGGTGGTGCCTGTGACTCAAAGGAGTAGGGCGCTGGTCCCATATGCCAGAGGTGGAGGGTTCAAAACCTGGCCCTGGCCAAAAGGAAAGAAGGAAAGGAAGGAAGGAAGAAAGGAAGGAAGGAAGGAAGGAAGGAAGGAAGGAAGGAAGGAAGGAGCTTAAAAAAAATATTTCTCCTTCCTGCATGTTAAGTAGCGTTGTAAGTAACAAAATGATCTTTAAATTTCAATTCCTACAATCTTAACTAACATGGCACTTCCAGGAACTCAGACCACTGACTCAGTGTTTAACATCATCAACATGTATCTGTTTTTCCCTAAAAGCTTTCATTAACAGTTTTATAGAATAATCTTTTTTAATCTAACATTGATTTCAATATATTGATAATATCTCTCATTTATTTAGACATCCAAATGGGACCCAGAGCAATAGCACAAGATGGCCAGTCTTCAAAAGCCCTGAATATAAATACCTGACCTTGAATACAGAGTCATCACGGATATTCACCAAATTACGTGCTCATCAGTGCCGGTTCTGGACACTTTTTTTCCCCAAAGTCTTGGAAATGACAGGTGTGTGTTTTCCAATGTGTGGTTATTTAATAGATATGTGGGTGATATAAAAGAAGAAAAAGGCAGACTGTCTAAGGCACATGGTACTGTTAATGCAGGTATCTTTGACTTTACAGTTACTAGATTCCAATGAGTACATCATTTAGTAATATTCCTCCAGCTTACTACATCTGCAGCACTGTAGTAGTTAAATAAGGGAACTAAAATATAAATTTTCCCCTGGAGGAGCATAAACTATAGTAGGGGGTTTTAAGGAAGGCCTTACTGTTATTCAGATGATTTTTAAGGATTTCATGGATAAATGAATAAAGAAATAAATGAAATAAACATAATATATGTAACCAAAACATAGATATGTAAAAATAAGTAAAAATAATATGATGATACATGATACCATCCTTGATTTCTAGAAAGGACAGACCACCAGATTTAAATATTAAAAAAAACTCCAAAACTTAAATATTTAAAAATTCAGTCCAAATATTTCTTAATATTCTGAACTTGAGAAGATTCATCTAAGAACATATGTCTACATATAAATTACATAATATCATAAGAATACTAATTTGAGAGAAATTAGTGGATGATTTTAAATGATTCATTTATCACAAGTCAAACTGTGTCCTTGTGATGTATTGCTATTTATTTGTTGATAAAACAAAATTGAATACCAGAAAACGTACTTCTAAAATATCTCCATTTTGAGTTACTTGCCATCCGCAGAGTAGGTTGAAAAATAAACTCCAAAGTTTGGGGCCAGCTTTTGCACATTCTGTACAATGCTAAACACATGCCTAGTTTGAGCTAAACTGAGCGATACGGAACCAGCACACCTACCTCTGGGTGTGCACCAGGCCCAGAGTGAGCTCCAGTGCATCTTGACAACATTATTTCTCAAAAAAAATTTCCCACAAAAGTCTTCATATTAGATATATTTTCTAACATCAAAGTAAGTGTAAAATATAATTACTGCTACCTATGAATCCAGCTGTAGCACAGCAGACTGTGAGTCCCCTTGCCTGGAGTTTACCCAACACCAGGGGGTTGGCAGACAAATGGGGTGAAGGCTCTGTGAGATGTACACACTGTGATGTCACACGCTGTGATTTGACCTGTCAGAGATCGACTGTATCAGCTACTCGTGAGGCTAACAGGGGCCTTCTACAGCCCAATACTCGAGGCTTTTATTGGTAGTCTTGGGGGTGTGTGTACATAAGTTGCAAAGTGAAAGGGTAACAGTTTCATGTTTCAATTAAACAGGCAGTTCTGAAGAAAGCTGTCAGGCTGGATAACAGAGGAGCACTAAATTACAGATCAAAGAATACTATGGGTAAGATTTAAGAAGGTAAAGTGACAGCCCACAGGTTAGATACCCGCAGCTGCAGGGTAGCTATCAGTTCCTTTCTAGTGTTATTTATATCCTGTCTCTAAGCTGCTGATGTTTATCTAGACATTTCCCAGACTATTTTCTCATCTATTCTGCTGGACATTGCATCCCCCTGCACCCCCAAATCCGCCCACCCCAGCCACCTTAGCCAGGCATCACAGCAGATGGGCTGAGACTCAGGGCCATAACCTGCAAAAGATCTAAGGGAAGCAGCCTACTCTAGCTCTCACCCATGTATAATTCAAATAAAATTATCCTTAAGACTTGTTTAAACACACACTTTCCAGCATTAACTTTCAGACTGTACTTCAGCATATGCCTGTGCTGTTATTGCATGCACCTGCTTCAAATGTTATCTACGCCAAATTTTCATGAAGAGGACATCTGCACAATATCTCCTCCTTATTCCAAAAAAGAAAGCTACAGAAATGACTCTTTAGTAAAGTATCACAAGAATGGAAAAGCAAGTATCCAGTGTACTTAGTACTGATTTGAAACCAATAGATGAACAGCTACATGCCCACAAGAGAGAAAAACACAGTTAAATTCAAGTGGGGGGAGGAGGGAGGAGGAAGAGGACAGGGAAGAGGACAGAAGGACATTGGTAAGATGTTACCTGATGGCCACAAGGTAACAGGTATATCCCACATCCCCTGGGTGAAGGGCTTAACTACAACTTGGACTTTAACAAATTCAAACGATGTAGCCTAATCATCTGTACTCTTGTATTAATCTGAAATTTAAAAAGAAAAATGGCAGGGTCTGCTAAAATATAGTTAGGTAGTAGGAACAATTTCCAGGACAATAGAAAGCTTATAGGAGAAGATACTGCCGTAAATCTTGATATGAAGGCAACGTGAAGAGAAGCCATATAAGCAGGAACCAGAGATGACGTGCTTTGTGGGCAATAATAAGGATCTTAAATCCTATCTTAAGCAAAGTCATTTAGTAACTTTAAATGGGAGACTGACATTTTCTGGTTATTGATTCATAAAAGTATTAGTTTTCACTGCAAAACAGAGTTTTTCTATGTATTCTGTTTAGCATTTTTAAGAGTAATACATGCTATCAGTACAATAATTAGTTTTCTAAAGTAGTGCCACTCATCCAAATAGTTGCTTTCCTTTGCTAATTCGTTTGTATTAGAAACTTATTAGCTTCTCTTTTATTTATTTCAGTCATATTGTATATTTTATTTGTATTTATTCTTTAAAAATTATTCTAAGATTGCTTTGTCTTGTTTCATTGTGAAAGTATTTATCAGTATTTCAGTATTTCCAATATAAATTTGGAAATATCCCATCAATCTGCATACAGAGTTGAACCCTGAACAGTAAAGGGGTCGGGACACCGAGTCCTGTGCTGTCAAAACCCACCTACAACATTTGACTCCCTCAAAACTTTACTAATAACCTTCTCTTGAACAGAAGCCTTCCTGACAAATAGGCTTCCACATATTTACTTACTGTGTTCTTACAATAAAGTAAGCTAGAGAAAGAAAATGTTATTGAGAAATCATTAGGAATAGAAATATATTTGCTAGTCACCAGATGGAAGTGGGTCATCATAAAGGTTTTCATCCTTGTTTTTACAAGGAGTGGGCTGAGGAGGAGGGAGAGGGGCTGGTCTTGTCTCAGGGGCAGGAGGGACTGAAAAAATTCACATAAAAATGGAATAGAACAGCTCAAAACCCTATTGTCCAAGAACCAACTTCGTACGTATTTTTTTTTCTTTTTCTTCTAAAATATGTGCAACTGTTAAGTTTGCTTTGCGCTTACATGAGAAATTTGTTTGGGGTAAACTTTTTCTTTAAATATTTTCATATGTCTGTGCATGTGTTATAAATTTTCACACACTATCTTAACTATTAGAAAAATCTTCAGTTTATGTTCGTATGATGACTTGACATAAATTCTTATTTTAGAAAAATAGATCACACACCTTTCTAATCGTAAACAATAAAAACGTGATGACTTTTTTGGGACATGGTAGATAATTTAACACCTTTCAAAACCTTTTTTTTTTTTTTTTTTTTGGCCAAAAGTAAATCATCTGTCTGTAAGCTTAAATATTTTTAAAATCAACTGAGCTCTTACTATGTAGTTATGTGAATAAATTTCTTAATATCTTTTTTCTTTCTGCTCTATTTTTATTCTAAAAATAATGAGTTTCTTTTATTCTTGTTTGTGTAATGTATTTGTTCTTGTTCTTTTACTTTTCCGTTTTCTGTATTATTCTATGTTATATTTAAAAGCCATAAGCTAAGGCCAAGGGATAAATAGATTTGCTCCATTGTTAATATTATAAATAAAAAGAAACTTTTTCATGCACATCATTATATTGTAGGACCATTATAGAGTATGAATAAAGAGAACTTTGAATATATTCTTTATATAAGAACTGAGAAAGGTTAATCAATTGATTCACAATTTCCCTTTATAAAAATTAATTAAAATTGTAATATATTTTACTAATCATTCTTTTTTGTTGACAGTGTCCAAAACACAAAATGTTACTGACTAGAAAGATGATAAAATAATAATAATGCCAAAATCATTTTTTATTATTTAATGTACTTTCTAAAAAAAATTAAAAGGTGTCAGGGGTTAATCTAATTGAGTAAAATATCACTTCAATATTTGATGAGATTGATCAATATTTGAAGGTAGAATTTAGTGTCAACCCCTTACTTTCTAGTTGTGGTTTCTACGCATTTTCTTTTCTTCTTTCAGTTAATCAGCATTTTAATCTTTTTACCTTTTCTCACAAGAAATATTTACCCTTAGGCAACACTAATTAATGTTCATATAATCGTCACTACATTCTCGAACTTTAAGACGCCAGTGGCATGAAGACAGACATTTTACAGCAGGGTTAAGATTACAGTATAGGACACTCACATTATTTAAACATTACATTTCTGTTCTAAGATATAATTATGTTGTAATGACAGTTGAAAAACTTTTGCGCTACAAGCCAATGTACAGTTAAAGAAAAAAATAAAGTAAGGAGCAGGGGAAAGAGAGAAACTTCTCGTTTGGGGTTTGATTTATGTCATGGATTAAAGCTTTTATTTTCCTCTGAATTTGATGTATTCGCTTCCTCCAGATTTTGTTAAAAGTAATTAAACATTTTATATTTTATAATCTCTATCATTGCCTATTAGTTCTAAAGGAGACGAGAACTCAGATTTATAGTGTGTGTACTAAAAAGTGTTTCAGAAAAACTAAATTGTATAGATATTTGATTATGACACATAGAAAGTAAATCTATATTTATATGACTAAGTGGATTTTGTATCATTTC